TTGCTTTCTGAACCTACAAGAAAACTAGCTCTCTTCCAGCCGTCAAGGCTCACAAACGGCGCCCTCGCCACAGCAAAACAGCAGGGCCCTGACGGACGGACCGAGCCTCCGGGCAACGGCTCCCAAACTAGCTCTCTTCCAGCCGTCAAGGCTCACAAACGGCGCCTCCGCCACAGCAAAACAGCAGGGCCCTGAAGGACGGACCGAGCCTCCGGGCAACGGCTCTCAGTGCCTAACGTTGCTTTCTGAACCTACAAGAAAACTAGCTCTCTTCCAGCCGTCAAGGCTCACAAACGGCGCCCTCGCCACAGCAAAACAGCAGGGCCCTGAAGGACGGACCGAGCCTCCGGGCAACGGCTCCCAAACTAGCTCTCTTCCAGCCGTCAAGGCTCACAAACGGCGCCTCCGCCACAGCAAAACAGCAGGGCCCTGAAGGACGGACCGAGCCTCCGGGCAACAGCCCCCAGTGCCTAACGTTGCTTTCTCAACCTACAAGAAAACTAGCTCTCTGAGCTGTCTTCCAGCCGCCTGCCTAACGTTGCTTTCTGAATCGACAAGAAAACTAGCTCTCTGACCTGTCTTCCAGCCGCTTGTTTCTTCCTACCTGTTGCTTTCTGAATCGACAAGAAAACTAGCTCTCTGACCTGTCTTCCAGCCGCTTGTTGCTTCCTGGCTTCTTGTTTCTTGCTTCTCTGACCTGTCTTCCAGCCGCTTGTTGCTTCCTGGCTTGTTGTTTCTTGCTTCTCTGACCTGTCTTCCAGCCGCTTGTTGCTTCCTGGCTTCTTGTTTCTTGCTTCTTGCCGCTTGTTGCCTGTAATTGCTTCTTGCTTCTTGCTTCTTCTTTCTTGTTTTCTTCCTTCTTGCCCTTGCTGTTTGTAATGACTTCTCTGACCTGTCTTCCAGCCGCTTGTTGCTTCCTGGCTTCTTGTTTCTTGCTTCTTGCCGCTTGTTGCCTGTAATTGCTTCTTGCTTCTTGCTTCTTCTTTCATGTTTTCTTGCTTCTTGCCCTTGCTGCTTGTAATGACTTCTTGGCCCTTGCTGCTGGTAATTCCTCCTCTGACGCGCTCCCCCTGCTGTCGGCAGGGGTCGGCGGATATTGAAAGGATACATTTGTTTGGTCAACGGATGTGGCCAATGCCCCCCTCGCCGTGCTCCCCAGGACGAGAGTTTCGGGCCTGCGGTGCGGAAGGCTTTGGAGGAGGCTGGAAGCTATGTCGTTGATTTGTTGGAGAGTGTCCATATTCTTGCTACTCTAATTTATTACTAATATGAATAATGATTAATACTAATTATTTTAATGATTTATCATCAAGACAATCACATGTACATTATATCTTATAATATATATATTGCCATGTAATTACAATATATCTATAGTATATATACATATACATAGATGTTGGTCGGTCGCACCATTTTCCAAACCAAGAATCCCAGTCACTGCTATGTTCACTTTGGGATTTATGGGGTACGCTCCAATTTCAAACAAACCCATATATGTTTATGAATTTATGTATGCGTAGACCTAGCTGGAGACCTAAACTCAGACATCATTTCCGCCACGTCACTTGTTAGCCATGCGCTCTGGATTCCAAGCTCCAAAGCTGTACCTTGACCACTTCTGCTGGGGACGACTGGAATCAGGCGCGAGCAGCAGGTGCGATCCAGCACTTGCCAGTTCCTCGAAACCATGGATCACGTGCCCTCCACGAATCGAACATTGCGAAGGGATATCCACATACTTGTACTTCATGGGAACACCATCTACCAATGAATCAAATGGAAGATGTTCCATTGCTGTACTTGAAAGGCGGTCTTGATTTTGATCATGAAGCCAGCTGGGTGATGGGAAACACTTTTTTCCTACACTGAAATGACTGTTCTGATTGATGACCACTGTACATTTACAAACATTTACATTAGTTGAAACTACACCATGAACTTTCAACCCAGACCAGAACACTTGTCTCGAAGCTATTTTGTCTTGGTCGCTACAACAGGGAGAAACCCACCGGTGGCCAGCCCTGAGGTCGGCTGGTGCAGAGGCCGAAGCAGCCAGCAAGAAAGCTCTACAGGCCATGGAGCCCAATTTTTTTTTGCCAAGTTGGTTTATAACTAGGCTAACATAGGCTAACATAGCCTAACTTATTCACCTAGTCAGTATATCTACACAGGTCTATAATGGCTATCTAGGATTCATGGTAGATATACTATGATATACTGACTTCTACTGTGTCCATAGTTAAACATGTTAAACCAACTTAAGTGAACAAGAGGGCACCACTTTGTAGTCATTGGATGTCATTGGTTTCTTCGTCAGTATACGGCAGACAATTGGGATGCATTAGAAGAAACTCACTTGCTGACCTCATTATTTTGATGGCTGGGCAATTCTGCCATGGATGGAAAGCTGGACATATTCCATGATATTCCTCCACAGCCAGATTTGGTTATTAGATGGTCGTCTTTTGGTGGGTCAAACCTAATAACATCATCGAATGAATAGATGATCAAACTTAATAACCCAAAACTTGATGGTCAAACTGGTCAAACCGATTGTTTCTTGACCAATCATGAAAACAGCGAAGCGTTCATTTTTTTGAGATTCGCAGTTGCGAAGCCAGGAGTGGGAGTTGGCCGAACAGCACCGGGAGGATTCCATGATGGCTCTGCAGCCCCTGGCTTTTCGAAAGACTGGAGATGAGTCATGGAGATGTTAGGGTGTGAGTCATCCTAATATTACACAATAATCACAATATCATTGGGATTTTGGAATATCAATATATATATATTTATATATATAGCAATAATCATTGTAATATTGTAATATATTGTAATTGCTTTTGTTTTGACAACTACACTTCACATTACTGGAAAAATGTGTTTTTTTTTGTGAATCTTGTCCACCGCTTTGGGGTTCAAGTTTTTTTTTGAGGAATCACACGGAGGAATGCAGGTGTTTTTTGGTTACCGGGGTTATTGGGGGTGATGAACTGACCTACAGCAAGGATCCC